TTTTTTAAATTATAAATCTAAAGTATAAATTTTAGCTCACCGAGAGTCTAGAAATTATGAATCTACAATATAAAAATTATGGATCTACAGTATAAAAATTATGGATATAGATTCGTGCGCACCATGCAAGGTGGGCACATGCTCACAGCATAACGATTGTCCTTTAATTATCGGGTTTGTTAATTTGGGCTACCCGAATTAATTAAATCCATTAACAACATTATTAATATTCCATCTAAGGATTATTGTGGAATATGTTGTTGAATAATGCAATGAGATTTTGATAGGATAAATGATAAGGATAAGCACTTTGATTGATCATGATGATAAGTCACTTTGGATAGTTAAGTTGAGTTCCATCCCTTCCTCAGATAGCTAGCTAGTCCTCTACTTTTGGCATAGTCATTAGTCAATTCCCAATATATTGTATTGCCCCAATTAATGCATGTCTCAAATTGGATGAATTTATACATCATTAAGTCTAAATCAGGCCAACATCATCTTACTATTAGGTCTCACATTTAATAATTCATGGTGTAATTCGAGTCGAGTTGACAACTCACCAAAGTTTTGGGGTCATTAATTTGTTACATTTGCAAATCATAAAAAATGTAGGCCTATCAACTGACACATGCAGGCTTGTTTGAGCAGCGTGGAATATACTCCAAGTAATCCACCCCTATATATATGTCAAACATATATATACACATGACTTGATAGAAACAATGAAACATTAAAGTGTTTTCTTAGCACTCAAATCATCATGTTATTATGTTAGCCCTCCAAAAGACATTGAGGACTGGCTAGCTGGACCAATTCTGTCTTTTCCTTTCATTCTTTTCTTCCATTATCACTAAATTTGGCGTGTGTCTTAGAATTCTAAATACAACTATCCTACTCCACAACAAAACCAATGAAGGGTGCATGGGCAGCTCAGTTGGTCACAAGGGTAAAATTTAAAAATAATAATTCAAGATTGAGTCTCACCAACAACAGTGAAGGAACTCCTCGTGCGCAATAAAAAAATGTATGTATAACATCGGAGTTCTTGAAGTTGGAAATCCAATGAATTACTTGACAATGACACTAAAAAGAGAAAAATACCAACAACAATAAAAGAACATTAAGGTGGTATGTAGTCACTTAAAGGTAAACTATATCATGGACCATGGTTAATTTTTATAATATTGGGGTTCAGTACAAAGTACAATTGATTATGGTTGATTATTATAATATTATAGGTTCATTATAGTAATACTGTATGTCATTACGATGACACCAATTGCTTATTAATATTTACACATATTATTATTTTTATTTGGATAAAAAAATCAACGTGACAAATATATTGACCAATCAGCTTTGACGGTAGAAGAAAGAATTAAATGACAATTGCGCAATTATGGAAGAATAATCAAATGTCAACCTAAATCATCTCCAACTCCCTAATTATCAACCCATTTCCTAAATCACATTCTAATCCCATTAATTAGCCCACTCTACTTTAAATATCAAATTACCATATAGTTCGATCCTGATTAGCATGTACATTACCTATTTTTCACTATATAAAAGGCCATCCCCCAAAAAACCCATAGTATAACTGGTGTCACTAAAGTTGTGGGCTTGTTTCCTACTTGCATGCGACTCTCTTATATGCTTTAGCTTTAGTATAATACTATAATCTGCTTATAACATGTGCCCAATATATTGCATGTGGGCTACTATTTGGCCGAGTGGAGTCATTCTTGGGCTTGTAATTTCATGGTGTATTCAACTGATCAACTCTTCTTTCGCAAATTATGCTGTGCAACCGAATGCACCTTGCAAGGTGCATACGGTTGCAAAACGGCGCCGTTTTGGTTAAAAAAAAACGCGCGTCCCACTTAAAGAAGAAATCAAGTTCGATTCTCGGCAATAGCATTTTTATATATCCAGAAATTCATAACTATATATCCAGAAATTCATAACTATATATCCACAGTGAATGAATGAAGTAAAAATCCACAATGAATAAACTAAATATCCACAATGAATGAATTAAATATCCACAATGATTGAACTAAATATCCACAATGAATGAACTAAATATCCATAAATTCATAACTATATATCCAGAAATTCATAACTATATATCCATAAATTCATAACTATATATCCACAGTGAATGAATGAAGTAAATATCTACAATGAATGAACTAAATATCCACAATGAATGAACTAAATATCCATAAATTCATAACTATATATCCACAAATTTATAACTATATATCCAGAAATTCATAACTATATATCCACAATAATGCTATTGCCGAGAATCGAACCTGAATTATTATTATTTTTTTTTAAAGTGGGACACGCGTTTTTAGTCAAAACGACGTCGTTTTGCATCGTATGCACCATGCGCATGGTACATTCGGTTGCACAGCATAACTATTGCTCTTCTTTCTACTCTAATTTAATGCTTTCGGATTTGGTCCAAATTAAATTCATATTTCGGATTGATTTATAACCTCATCAATAGAATTGTCAAAATAGGCGAGTCCGGTCCATACGGGCTGGTCCTATCTCGGATTCAATTAGAAATGAACTGGGCCGGGTCGACTCGTTTTTACACGGGTTTGAATTTCTCAACCAACCCGTGTAAGACGGGCTGACACGTTAAACGAGCCAGTCTATTAGCCTGTTTTAATTTTTTTTAATCTTATTAAAACTTCTTTTATTGTGTAACTTAAAAATCAAACCCCTAACCTCTAAGTTAACAATTAAGACCATTTGTCCATTTCCAATCAACCACATTAAATTTTTTGAACAAATACCATATATATATATGTGTGTGTGTGTGTGTGTGCGCGCGCGCGCGCGCAGAGTAACACATACACACACACATAAAATTAGATTTTAACTTTTAATATATAATTATAATTTATTTAATTTATATTTAATACTAATATAGTTACATGTAATATTTTTTATTCCATAATTATAATATTTTTAAGTTATAAAGTTTATAACTTCATATAATTTATATAATAAATAAATTTTATATTAATATTTATATTTTTTGACGACATATTAATGATAAAATTAATTGTATTAATTAATACTTGTAATATATATAATAAATAAATAATATATACAATGCTTATGAATGATGTATATAAATATATAATTGAGTTAATACCCAAAATTGTCTTCGACTATAGTGGTTTTTCTCAATTTTGTCATAAACGACTTTGATGACTTAATGTAGTCCCAAAGTTTTGTGTTTTTACTCAATTTCGTCCCAGACTTTTGTGTTTTTGCTCAATTTAGTCCCCCATTTGTTATTCCGTCCATTTGTTGTTAAATAAATAGACAATTCAGTAATTTTAATATTGGCATCTCTTTATTCATAGACATGTGAAGTGCGAAATCCCTCTTTTTTTTTACGAATTACTCCCAGAATCACTTCTAAAGCTGCGAATATAAAATTTAATTCGTAGGTCTGAGAGTAACTCTGGGTGTAATTCATGTAAGAAAGAGAGATTTCTCACTTCGCAGGTTGAAAGTAAAGAGAGGTCAATATTGATATTATTGAATTGTTCTTTTATTTAACACCAATTTGACGGAATAACAAACGGAGGATTAAATTGAGCGAAACACAAAAGTCTGGGACTATATTGGGTCACCAAAGTCGTTTAGGACGAAATTGAGAAAAACCACTATAGTCGAGGACAATTTTGGGTATTAACTCATATATAATTATATAAAACTATTTAATATGTATCCTTAGCATAGTTAGTTTTAGTAGTGATAATTTAAGTGAAAGGCCAGAGGTTCAAGACTTAAGTAGCAATCATTATTCCATAAACCATAGACCATAGTATATATATTTGTGTGAACCATAAATAAAAGAGTTAATACCATCAAAAGTCCTCGAGTTTGGCGATTTCGTCACATTTAGTCCTAAATTTTCAAATCAACTATCCGTGTTCCTTCGAGTTTTGAATTTCGACCTGCAAGAGTCATTCTGTTAAATCCACCGGCTGCGTCGTGAAAAGTAAGGGCAAAAGAGTCTTTTTATGTCCAAACCAACCAAAACAATTGATTTTCTCACAAGAATTAGCTTTAATCTCCATACTCAATTGGAGTGTGCACTGCACGCACCTATTGGGCGCAACAGTTGTTGCACACCACAACTCTATGTAATAAATTTTTCCCTTCTCCCAAAAAGTGAACTCCACCAAAAAACTTGATTTACAATATAAAAAAACATAGCAAAAAACCTATTCCCGCATTAGATAAGAACCCACCATGCCACCATTGATTTTTTATTCTAAAAAAACTAAGCAAAAACCAACTAATGGTGATGTTCTTAGTTCTCTCAATTTTGAGCTGATCAACTATGAATATCTGAGACTAATTTACTACTGCATACCCTCAACAATGACCAATACAACAATTCAGTTTTCCTCGTCACTAAATAAAAATTGAAAACTTCAAAATGGATTGTGATGGCCCAAATACCCAATTGTTATACCATGGAGCATGGTCCATCTTGTATCATTGATCCTGATCCAAAACTTATGTGTATGCATGTAATATATTTTGTACATGAAGCTAATGGTTTGTGCCTGTAAATAAGTTGAAGCCATATAATATGTTAACTATAAATACATAAAATATTTTGTAGTAACTAAATACACATAAATGTAGTTAACATATTTTATACATGTTGTTAACAATTTACGTGTCTATAGTTAACATGTTATGTGCTTTCAATAGATACTAAAACAGTTAACTGCATGGTCTGCGTGTACAAAATACGTCAACTGCAAAATACTTAATTTGAAGAATTAATTATCAAAATGTCACTTGACTATAACGAAATTACTAATTTAGTCCTTGACTATTTTTTAACCAATTAAGTCCCTCAATTTTAAAAATCATAACCAATTTGATCATCCGTTTTTTTTTTTTTTTTTTTTTTGTGAGATTGATGCCCCTACAGTGGAGCATTACCTAATCCAAAGATGAGGCGTGTTACAAGCATCATAATGGAGAAGCGTAGTTAGCTCCGTTGGGGCGTCTTCGAGGATTGTCGTCCCCCAGTCGACCTCCTGGCCTAAGTTAGCCAGCCAATCAGCACATTTGTTCCCCTCCCTTTCAATGTGGGATACCCGGTGATTTGGAATTCTATCAAGAAGATGCAAACAATCTGAGATGAGAGTGTCCAACGCGTCCCTCTGTTTGAACCCGCCATTGAGAATGGCCACAACCGCTGCTGAGTCCAACTCCACCCATACCCTATCCAGACCTTCTTCTAAGCAGAGCTGTAGACCCTCCCTTAGGCCCCACAGTTCCGCCGAGAAGCTATCAGTAAGGCCGACTTTAGTCACAAAACCCTTAACCCAACGTCCATGGTCATCACGAATGAGCTCGTCGGCACTAGCCATCCCGGTATTGCTTTTCATCGCACCGTCCGTGTTGAGTTTAACCCACCCCGGTTGGGGATTCGACCAGCTGACCCATTTGTGTTGGCCATGTACTGATCCTTTATTGTTTACTATATAACAACGTGCCTCCAAGGCCATGCTGCGTGCTGTTCCAACAATCTGCACGACAGTGTCTCTTTTTTGGTTGAAAATGAGATTGTTCCTTGCTTTCCAAAGGAGCCAAAGGATGTAAACAAACGTAGAGCTCCAGACTGTTCCATCTTGTAAAACTTTGTTGCTTTGACTGTTTTCCTTGATCCACGTACTGATGGGAGAGTAGCGCACCAGCCCAGTCCCTCCTCCATCTTTAGCTAAATCCCAGCATTCCTCCGCCAGTGGGCAATCTCGAAGCAGGTGCGAGGTTGACTCTTCGCCAAAGCCACAGCTTGCACAGCTGCTGTCTGTTGTCATATGGCGTTTCATTCTCTCCAAATTCGTCAGCAGTTTGTCCTTGAGAAGGAGCCACACGAAAGTCTTCACTTTCTCCACCACCTTGAGTTTCCAAATCCACGCCCAGTTCTCTTCATCATTAGGGGTACCTACGAGAGAATTATAGGCCGAGCTTACCGTGAACGTACCTGAGGTGCGGTCTGACAAGACGAGCCTATCTGTGGTGTTGCCATCAATAGGGATGGGAATTGTGCGAATCTTGTTAATGATATCTTCCGGTAGGGCCTCTCTCAAAGCAGTAACATCCCAGCTCCGGTCAGATTTAATGAAGTCACTCACCAAAGCATTAGCGAATGTATCCGGGATGTTAAGATTATCATCAAGCCCAAGTGGTTTGTCGTTGATCCACCAGTCAGACAGAAAGTGAAGGGATTCTCCATTTCCCACTCTCCACCGGGCCCCAGCTTCAATGACTGATCTTCCTTGAGAATGCTCTTCCACGTCCAAGAGGCTTTAGCGGGGGCGGTTGTTGTGAAAAGATTGTCCGCCTGAAGATATTTATTTCTTAAGGCAATAACCCACAATTTCTCCGGATTGTTCATAGTTTGCCACGCAAGCTTGACCAGGAGAGCCAGATTAAAATCTTTCGCCATGCGGAGACCCAGACCCCCTAGATCACGGGGGGAGCACACCTCGTTCCAATTGACAGCGTGGATTTTTCTAGTCGTATCGGTTGATCCCCAAAGAAAGTCCCTGCAAATTTTGTCAATATCATTACACGTACCTGTTGGAAGCGCCATGGTTTGCATGGTATACACGGGGATAGTAGCTAACGCCGACTGGACCAGAATTCTTCTACCTGCCAAGCTTAAAAAGCCAGTTTTCCAATTTGCTAACTTTTTGCGCATGTTGTCAAGGATATAGGAGAAGTGTCTTCTAGAGACTCTCTTTTGAAGAATGGGGATCCCCAGGTACTTACCAAGAGTGACCGGGATGTTGGACAAGGACCGCACTAAACGTTTAGTCCTGTTAGGGGTGTTGGGGGAACAGTAGATGAGAGACTTACCCAAATTAACATGTAGACCTGACCTCCGGGAGAACTTCCCCAAGCAATCGATGATGACCTTAGTTTGCGCTTCGGTGGCCTCTCCGAACAACATCAGGTCATCTGCAAAGAAAATATGAGAAACACATGTACCTCCTCTGTTTAGGGTGACTGGTTTCCAATTCTTGTCTCTAGTTTCCACATGAATGTTCATTGAAAGTTTCTCCATAGCCAAGATGAAAAGGTACGAAGCTAGTGGATTTCCTTGCCTCAGGCCTCTCCCCGGTGTGTAATTTGGCAGCTTACCCCCATTCCATAGAATCCCTATCGTACTTTCTTTGAGAGAAAAAAGGACGAGACTAATAAGCTGTCTCGGGAACCCAAAATCCTGTAGAGTATGTTCAAGGAAGCCCCAATCGATGCTATCATAAGCTTTGTGGAGGTCCACTTTCATCACCAGTGACCCTTTTTTACCTTTCTTATTTCTCATGCTATGCATGATCTCCTGTGTCAAGACAATGTTGTCTAACGTGGATCTCCCTGGAAGAAAGCTGTTTTGATGGGGACCCACAAGCTTATCCATGAGCGGCCTCAATCTGTTAACAACAACTTTGGTAATAATCTTGAAAACCACATTAAGAAGGGTAATAGGTCTAAAGTCCGCAGCACTCTCCGTATTGTCTTTTTTGGGAATGAGGGTGACAAACGATTCAAGAATACCAACCGGGACCCTACCTGTGGTCAAGGCTTGATTGACAAGATCGGTGATGGGATTGCTTACTATGTCCCAGAAATCTTGGTAGAAAGCAGCCTGAATGCCATCGGGCCCCGGGTTTCCCATCCTTTTCATACCAAACACCGCTTTTCTGACTTCTTGAGTGTCGGCTGTGCGGGTCAAACAATCGGCTTCTGTTGGGTTTAGGCTATAGCCATGGTGGCGATCGGGATTATTCCGCTCAACTTGGTTATCCCTGCAGAATAAATTTGAAAAAAAAATTAATGACATGCTCTTTAAGAATCACAGGATCGAAGTTCCACTCACCATTGATTTTGAGAGCTCTGACTCTCCCTCTATTTCTTCTGATCACAGTGGACTTGTGATAAAAGTTGGTGTTTTTGTCACCATCTTCAATCCAGGCCCTTCTTGATTTCTGAAACCAAAGCAGTTCTTCCTGTGCCAGGGTCACACTAAGCTCTTTTATGAGCTTCCTTTCAAGGACTTGGAGACCACGGGCAGTATTATACCAAGGTGATGCTTGAATACCTTGAATGCGATTTTGGAGGAGATTCTTTCTCTTAAAGATGTTCCCGAAGACCTCCACATTCCACTTTTTACTCTGAGTAATCACTTCGTTGATAGCCCCTATTACATCCCCCATTTTTTCGGCCCAAGCAACTTTCCAGACGTCTTTGTAGTCGTTATGGGTGAGCCAGGCCGCTTCAAACCGGAAGGGTCTCTCATTCCTATTAGGAGCCGAACCGGCCATACTAGTGAAGGAGATAGGATGATGATCGGAGTGAGTTCTAGTAAGAACGTAAGCCTTGGCTTCAGGGAAGGCGTTTTGCGCTTCCAAGTTCCAAAATGCCCTGTCTAACTTTCTTCTTGTGACCGTCCTTCCACCGATTTGCCTAAGCCAAGTGAATTTTGGCCCTGTAGAGCTGACCTCCATAAGACCACAGTCCTCATAGGCTTTGCAGAATCTAGTAACGTTATTCATATTGACATGATCATTTCCCCAATGGTCATTAGGGGATGCTATGTCCTTGAAGTCTCCGAGCATAATCCAGGGCCCCACAATGGCACTCCCAAAGCTCTTGCACTCATTCCAGAACAACTCTTTAGCTTGAGGATTTGGTCTAACATAAGCAAAAGAGAGATGGAGATGCGAGACCCCGGTCCCCTTCACGTTGCAGTGAATGACTTGTGAATTGCTTCTAACCACCTCCAGGTCAAGCCTGTTCTTATTCCAAACCAGAAGAAGACCCCCTGCAAAACCAAGGGTGTTAACAGAAAAGAAATTATCAAAACCAGAATTACTCATCGCTTTGAGAAGATTGTCGGCCTTATTGGTCTTGGTTTCCAGGAAACAAATAGCCCCCACGTCCTTCTTAGTTAGGAGGAGTTTAGCATGGCGGATAGTCTCCCGGTTCCCAACACCCCGACAGTTCCAAGCAATGACAATCATGATGAACCAACGGGAGGCGAGGGAGTTAGGCCACCGCCTCCCTCACGCGTATTTCCTGTAACCTGGTCCGAATTGTGGACAACGGCAGCCTGGCTTGTCGAGCCAAAAACTGGTATAGAGCCAAAAATGAAAGTCTCCCCTCCACTGCCTTATGCACTGTCAGCCGGCGGTCGGTTTTTCGCCGCCTTATCAGGACCAGTGTTCTGATTAGCTAGCGTGGTATGTTTGGATTTCGGGGCAGCTTTTCCTTTCTGTTTCTTTTTCGAATTCTTCTTGATATTTCTGACCTCTTCTTCCACCCGCACAGGGGTTTCATGCAAGGTACTTTCATCCTGCAAGGCTGTAAACATGTTAGTATCAATAAAAGAGGGAGATGGGGTACCGACAGTGGGATTGATGGAGACTGTATTATCCTTCTGAGCTTTCTCGCCTGCCATGGACGGTTGCTTCCCCTTCCCAGCGTTGGTTTTCTCCACTTGAGACTTCCCTGTCGGCTTGGAGCCCTTGTTTCTCCCCACCTCTTTGGCTTTTGCATTCTTGTTGCTGACTATCATCCAGGAGCCATATTTTTCTGGCACTTGGACAATTATGGGATCCGCCGAAGGCCTCTCCTCATCGACGTTCATCTCCGTAGCCGGAGGTGATTCAGTTGGAGTAGTGTTCAGCGAGTGATCTTTAGAACAAGAGGCCGACACATGACCAACTGCACCACACCCAAAGCAGATCGTATGGAGACCCTCGTAAGCAACCTTCTGGAGCCAATCATCCACGGCCACCATCGATGCAAGCGGTTTGCGGAGATTGACTTCTATAGCCGCCCTAGCAAACCTCACCTTATCAACATCTGTCGTCGTTTTGTCCACCTTAAGAAGAGTACCAACAGGTTCCAAGATTTCTCTTAACGCATCCTCCCGGAAAAGTTCCACGGGGAGCCCTGGTAAACGCACCCACACCGCCATCTTTTCAAGAGTGGCAGTTTGGGGGTCGTAGTTTGGTCGCTATCTTTGCGGAATGACGTAGCAATCGAAGATCTTCCACGGCCCATCTAGAAGCACATGTTTGTAGTCGATTTCCAGCCCAAATCTAGCAATATAGTGCCCCATACCCAGATCAAGTATCTCCACCTTACCGGATAGGTTCCACAAGCGGATCAGCCGCTGTTGCACCACCATGAAAGCTGGTGGTTTGCCTAAGAACCTGAGGATAAGGGACTTGCGCCAAGGTTTTTCTAAGTCCGCGCGGAGCTCTTTGGATAGCCTCACGACTGGGACTCCTTCGAAGATGATGTTTTTAACCTTCTCCGGTTCCCTTGGAAGGGAGTCCTCCAACCAGTCCTCGTCGGTTTGTTCCTCCATATTATCGTTATCCAGAGTGGAAGATGCCGTTACCGCCTCAGCAAAAGACCGTTTCAGGACCCTCACTCGCTTTCTCGCTGGTGAACCCCTTCCCTCTCCCCCCTCCACCGCCGGTGGGGGAGCTAGCGACGGCACTCCGGCCGCAACCTCCATGGAAGGTTCGCCTTCAACGGCAACTTACCAAAGCAGAGAAGAAGAAAAAAGGAAGTTCCTAGAGAGAAAAAAAATTATTATTAGACATTTAATCTCCATACTCAATTGGAGTGTGCACTGCACGCACCTATTGGGCGCAACAGTTGTTGCACACCACAACTTTATGTAATAAATTTTTCCCTTCTCCCAAAAAGTGAACTCCACCAAAAAACTTGATTTACAAGATAAAAAACATAGCAAAAAACCTATTCCCGCATTAGATAAGAACCCACCATGCCACCATTGATTTTTTATTCTAAAAAAACTAAGAAAAAACCAACTAATGGTGATGTTCTTAGTTCTCTCAATTTTGAGCTGATCAACTATGAATATCTGAGACTAATTTACTACTGCATACCCTCAACAATGACCAATACAACAATTCAGTTTTCCTCGTCACTAAATAAAAATTGAAAACTTCAAAATGGATTGTGATGGCCCAAATACCCAATTGTTATACCATGGAGCATGGTCCATCTTGTATCATTGATCCTGATCCAAAACTTATGTGTATGCATGTAATATATTTTGTACATGAAGCTAATGGTTTGTGCCTGTAAATAAGTTGAAGCCATATAATATGTTAACTATAAATACATAAAATATTTCGTAGTAACTAAATACACATAAAGAGTTAATCAACGATTTGGTCCCTCAATTATTGCCAAACTGTGAATGTTGTCCTTTAATTCCTTAATCATCGATTTAGTCCCCGAAAATAACTGTTTTTAGTCATTTTAGTCCCTCCGTCCGTTTTCCGGCTACACTCCGGTTAGACCTCCGATTTACCAGGGTCATTTTTGTCATTTCAACAGTCTAAGGTGTTGTTTGGCTTGTGTTATTCCTTGCGGAGCCTTAGACTTGATCCGTATAGTGCACTTGAACGGGCAAGTTGAGGAAATTGCGCATCCCATCACCGCCGGCGAGGTTCTCAACAACAACCCAAACCACGTTTTGAGTAAGCCCAGCAGCTCTCAAGGCATGGTTCGCCGGATCATGATCCTCTCGCCGGAGTCTGAGCTCAAGAGAGGCAGTATCTACTTCTTGATCCCGGCGACTTCTGTCCTGGACAAGAAGAAGAACAAGAAGATCATCCATCCAGCTACCAAAAACCCATCCAAGAAGATGATGAGCATGAGAGTGTACCACGTTAATGCCACCGTCGTCGGAGAAAAAGTCTCGCCCGATGTCGTGCCGCCGTCGGAGAAGAAGTCATTTGTTTATTCACTTCGTACTTGCTTAACCCACACTTTGAGTTCGACATCTTTCTCTTCCATGGAATCTTTCTCTTCCATGGAATCACAAAAAAAAAAAGACAATATTGTCAGAAAGAAGGAAAATAATATCTTTTGCTTGGACTGTTGCGTTGCCATTTGCCCCCATTGCTTGACCCCTCACCGCTCCCATCGTCTCTTGCGGGTTTATATATAAAGATATCACATTTTACTGTGTGGATGATCGATTATAGATTATGAATTTGTGGGTTCTTGTGATAGGTAACAAGGTATATCTACCATGATGTTTTGAGGTTGAAGGATGCTGAGAAATTGCTGGACTGTGTTTCTGTTCAAGTATGTATCCATTCATTTCTTGATTTTAACAACGTTTGAGACTTGGGATTTTTGTTTGTTGTGTTTAGGCTTCCTTTTTTCGTGTGATTTTGCAGTCTTATATTAGTAATAGTGAGAAAGTTGTGTTTCTGAATGAAAGACCGATCACAAGGCCTTGCAGAGGCTATGCAAAGCTTTGCATTATCTATGACAGAGCCGTTCAAGAATCGTTCCTCTTCTGCTCCATCTCCTGCAAGGTTAAATCTTTACTTTTTTTTTTTTTTTTTTTTTTTGCAGTGGTGATGCCGGAGCCGGGGTTCGGAGATGACCTGTTCACGCCGGAGACCGTCCACGAACCCACGGCTTCCATCAGCGCGGGCTCCGCTTCCAGCTTTTCCGCCGGAGGAATCGAGTGCCGAATACTTGGTAGCATGCTAGAACCGCCGGAGAAATATTCCTTGGAGTGAATAAACAAATGAAATGACAAAAATGACCCTGGTAAATCAGAGGTCTAACCGGAGTGTAGCCGGAAAACGGACGGAGGGACTAAAATGACTAAAAACAGTTATTTTCGGGGACTAAATCGATGATTAAGGAATTAAAGGACAACATTCACAGTTTGGCAATAATTGAGGGACCAAATCGTTGATTAACTCTACACATAAATGTAGTTAACATATTTTATACATGTTGTTAACAATTTACGTGTCTATAGTTAACATGTTATGTGCTTTCAATAGATACTAAAACAGTTAACTGCATGGTCTGCGTGTACAAAATACGTCAAGTGCAAAATACTTAATTTGAAGAATTAATTATCAAAATGTCACTTGACTATAACGAAATTACTAATTTAGTCCTTGACTATTTTTTAACCAATTAAGTCCCTCAATTTTAAAAATCATAATCAATTTGATCATCCGTTTGTTTTGTCATTAGACGTTCGTTAATTCAGGACAAAATTAGTAATTTCGTTATAGTCAAGGGATTATTTTAGTAATTAAATTTTCAAAAAAATGGTGCTTGTAATGATCGAAATGGTCCCTTAACTATAGTAAAATTATCAATTTAATCATGAGTTAATGAATTGTCTAACGACAAAATAAACAAATGACTAAATTAGTATATTGGTTAAGATTTTTAAAATTGATAGGACTTAATTAGTCAAAAAAAAGTCAATGACCAAGACAATTATAGTCAAAAAAAAATTATTTCTATAATTAACTCTAATCTAAATGTTATTTTAGACCAAGAACCAAAATGAAATGAAAGGAGACATAATTTGCCCGCAAACGCCACCTAATTTCTTCCCAAGGGTTTAGCAGAATCTCCCGTTCGCGAATTCCGTTACAGTATCAACTCCCGAGATTATGGCGGCGGCAAGGGCGGTGGTGCTTCCCAGACCGGTGACTTTCGTGACCGGAAACGCAAAGAAGTTAGAGGAGGTCCGAGCCATCCTTGGAACCTCCATTCCTTTCCAGTCCCTCAAACTCGACCGTATGTCCTCAAAATTCTCTCTTCTTCATTTCTAGTCTTACATATGTGTATATCTATCTATACGCACGCGCACGAACACACATATTTATATATTCCTGGATTTTATTTTTATTTTCTTTAATATTTATTGAAATACAGTACCAGAGCTACAAGGCGAGCCTGAAGAAATCTCCAAGGAGAAGGCTAGAATCGCTGCTAAAGAGGTATAATGCTTGATCCACCCGTGTACAAAACTGTAATGCAGAATTGATATTGCGTTTTCATTTGCTTAAGGCTATGTATGTTCTGTTTTTGGCAAAAAGAAGAGGGAGAAATGGAAAAAAAAAATTATATATCTTCATTGCAATTTTTGGTATTCTTTTTGAAGTGGTTATTATACATTGGTTGGTTTTGTTGTTGAATTGGAAGGTCAAGGGCCCTGTGCTAGTGGAGGATACTTGTCTTTGTTTCAATGCGCTTAAGGGTCTCCCAGGTGCTTATATCAAATGTCACATTCATGCTTGTTTGTTTTATTTATACCTGCTTTGACATATCTCTTTGTGAATGGTTGATGATGGAATGTTCAAATTCTTTCGTTTTGTTTTTGCAGGGCCTTACATGTAAGTTTTAACTTTGTGCTGATTGTCTGGGGAAGTGTTGCTTTCGTTATTCTGATGAGCTTACAGTTTTTCCACTTCTTTAATTTCATTCCCTGTTGGGTGTTTATTCTTATGAAGTCCAACTAGTTACTAATGATTTGTTTGTTGTTTTGGGCATAAATTACTTTCACCTTTGGTTTCTGATGTTGTTAATGGATTGGAAATTGCATCGGCCAGCAAGTGGTTTTTGCAGAAAACTGGACATGAAGGTAATACGTTATCACCTTTCATGCACGGAAACTATGTATAATGTCTTCTCCTTCTTCCTATCACTTAAAGGTTTCTACGTTTTCTAGGTCTCAACAATTTGTTAATGGCATATGAGGATAAATCGGCATATGCTATGTGTATCTTCTCTCTTGCTATTGGACCTAATGTGGAGCCGATTACATTTATTGGTAAAACTTTGGTAAGCCTCCTCGCTCTTGTAAGTTGTAACCAAACACATCCATTTAATTAACATTTGTTTTAAATAGTGTTATGTAGCAGAGAAGCAAAGATTAGCACTACACTTGTTGTTTTCATAGGTTGATCATTTAAATTTCTAAATGAAAGAATGGATTGTCTTTTCTGTTCTAAAAGTGGAAGCCAGGCAATCAAGGAATTGAATAGTACTTTTAATGTAGTTTCTTTAGCATTTTGTGTGTGTTTAATAGTACTTTTAATGTAGTTTCTAAATATATAAATTTTGTATACTAATACTGAACTTAATGTTATGAAAAATTGAATTAACTTCAATTAAGTCTTGTTAACCGAACCAAACACATAAAATGAGACGGAGGGAGTATCTTGTTGGCATGACCTTAAAGAGTTAATGCCCTCCGCTAAAGATGTTGCTTAAGTAAATATTTTTTATGTCGTTTTGACCTTATGTTTGCTACAAAGTGCTTTTGAACTTTCTCCATCCTCAAGTTAGAAAAGCATTTTTGGATTTCTACTCAACTTCATTGCCAAATGCACAGTAGAATCCTTTCTTTAAGAAACATTAGTGGCATAAAATACATGAGACATAGGGACAAATTTTGGGCTTTCATTGGAAGAAGCTTGAATCATGGCTTATTAGCCAACGAGATTATGGTGTCACAGGTGCATACCGAAATGAATTGCTTAAAATATCTGGAAATTGAACACTTGCAAACCTACATTGAGGATCATTTCTAATTTCTCCCTGCTTTTGGGTAGTCTGATTTGCTACTATAAAATACAGTCTATGAGCCATTCCTAAGACTCTAAACATGTTACTAGTGTAAAATACACTGTTTCTGCATCGTAATAAGAAATATTGTCATCCTTAACATTGTATTTGTGTATGTATGGTGCTGCTAGAGTACTACTGTACTAGGCACATACTATTCCTTGAGATCTAGCTTCTCTTCTTATTATTTTCTCATTTTAGAGGCGGGGAATCATCAAAAGCTGGTTTTATATTAATTTGATGGCTTAAAATTTCAGGGAAAGATTGTTCCAGCGAGGGGACCAAATGATTTTGGATGGGATCCTATCTTTGAGCCTGATGGCTATGAGCAGACGTAAACCAAACGCTTCTTATCATGCTCATAAACTCTTGATGTTGAGTTAAGTAGTCCAACCAATTAAAGTGTGTGTTGTATGTGCAGTTATGCCGAGATGGCGAAGGAAGAAAAGAACAAGATTTCTCACCGCTCTAAGGCTCTTGCACTAGTGAAGTCACACTTTGCTGATGTTGGATATACCTTCCAGACAGACGCATCTACTTAGTCACACATGCAAAAACTCTTCAAAAACTATAACCATTGGAGATGCTTTTAGTAGTAGTACAACAATGATCAACGACACTAGTTGGTTCCACAGCATCCTCGGATTAGGTATTGGCCTATTGGGTAGAGGCCGGGAATTTTGTAACGAAGATTTATTTTTGGTACCATGAATTTTAGTTCTACTCTATCTAGCTTAATTAGTAGCATACATGTGAACAAAATATAGTAAATTCTTTCGCATATTTTACAACAGTTAGGAACTTGACATCACAATTTGATGGAACCAAACTAGAATTTTGATTAGAATTTCTTTTATTATTTTTTTAAAATTATTATGCTAACAAAATCCTTTTATGTAATTGATGGTACCACAACATCTTCAGATTTGATGCTTCTTAGATTATATTTTGATGCTTTTTTTACCATGAATATTCTAATTTTGGTACCACCCTAAGAATATATATAAAGACATTAAAACTCTTTATATTTAATGGTTACTTGATTTTTTTTTTTTTTTTTATAAATCAATTACTAATCAAATATAAAAAAGAACTAATTGAGTAACGTCACTTCAAGGCATAAATATTATTTCTTATCTTTTAAAACGAGCTTAAATTGTTCAAAGCTAATCAGCTCAAATTGAAAAGATTAATAAACAATTTCGTAAAAATTTAAACGAATTTTGAATCTTGTGGTCACCAAGTTAAGTATATGATGAATTGAGATGAGATTGCCCCACGAATGGCTATTCTTTCTTTTACAAAGGAAGCTATCTGGTGTGATGCATGAACAATCTGTATGTAGGTGGTGGACATAATTAATTATTCCCCAGAAAAGGAAATTGCAAATTCCACTGCCTTAGCTTGCCTGTACACTACCTGTGGCTGTCTGAAATCTAAAGCCAATAATAATATGCAGTGGTGCTACTTGTCTTTGAAATGGGAGATGTATGCATTAATGCATAGATTTGTGTGTGAAAGGCAGAAAAAATCCCCATCAAATGAATGAAGAAGGACAAGGGCACGTACAAGTAGAATATTTTCATTTTTTATTTCAAAACTTTACGTTTCTATTTTGGTTTTAAATGTTTTAACTATTGACTAAATAATATATTTTTAATTTTATCAAATAATAAATGTAATGTTATACTCTTAATTTTTACGCTATCTTGGTGTGACATATTTTTTTTTTTTTTGAAAAAACCAATCTGTCGATTGTATTAATTGATGAAAGCTATAATAGCGTCAGGAGGGATAGAATCCCAATACATAGAATGTTCCTGAGTAAAAGCTAACGAAGCTAAAGTATGAGCATGTAAATTAAACTGTCTAGGAACATAGCTTAACGAAATAAAATTAAATAAAGACATCATTGTCTTGCACTGGTCAATTATCAACCCAGCATACGAGTGAATGGGTGTAATTTGGTGGTGTATGGTGGATCGCAGAACCATACAATCCGTGAGCACACTGGCCGAATTAATATTCCTTTCAGCTAACCAGGACAGTGCCTCTTTAAAAGCCATAGCCTCCGCCATGAGTGGTGAAAAACAAACGGGTGATCTGCCATTCTTTGCTGCCACAAACAAGCCACCGGGCTCTAATAACACAACTCCATACGTAGCCTCCCCGGTTTCCTGCCGATACCTCGCATCTATATAGCATCGCATGTGATTGTCGGGCAATACCGGTTCGGATCGTGGCTGTAAATCTTCTCGCGTGGCCCGGCCGTGTACCGCACCATAAGCTTTCAGCAATGATGCCACCCCCTTCATAACAGTCTGCGGCCGTGACATGGCCCCTTCCCACACGGCGCCATTGCGGCTTCTCTAAATATTGTATAGAACTCCCACCAAAAGCTGTGTTTGTTCCTCGGTTAGAATTGCCATAGCCCCAGCTAACCATGTTGCAAACGAATTTGTAATAATATTCGTGATAGGTAATTGTGTTATATTCCAAACTAATGCATAATATTCACAATAAACTAATGCATGCAACACATCTTCATTATTTAATCTGCACATAGGACAAGCCGGGTCAATCTCCACCATCTTTTCAATTAGATTCGTGGTAGTTGGTAAAATATCACATACTACTCTCCATAAAAAAGTCTTCCATTTTGGTGGTACTTTCAATTTTCCACATCTTAACCCATTTATCAAAATCACATGGGTTATTCTCATAATCACCAACAATACGCCTGTAAGCATTCTTTACTGAATAAATACCTTTTGGATCACGTATCCAGTACCATGAGTCATCATAATCAGGCTAACAGGAATCATAACTATTCTGCTCACATCCTCAGGGATAAATAAATAAGATAAAATATGTGGATCCCATGTTTGTGTTTGTGGGTCAATCAAACCTGTCACTCGTGCCTCTCTTAACTCCTCAGGCATAATTGTTTGTACCAAGGGACTTGGATTATCCTGGAGCCATGAGTGCCCCCAAATAAGAGTTGTCTCACCATTTCTAATCCTGCATCTTATCCCAGCTACCACTATTGGATGTGCTGCCATTATACTTCTCCAACAAAAACTTGGGCAATTACCAATAGTAGCATCAACAAAACTAGAAGTGGGGTAATACCTGGCTTTATATATTCTTGCCACCAGGGACTCTGGGTTTGTCAAAAATCGACATGCCTGCTTGCCCAGCATAGCTAGATTAAAAGCTCTCAACTCCTTGAAACTCAAACCACCAAACTTCTTGGGGATACATAACTTATCCCATGCCTTCCAGTGAATTCCCTTATCCCTGCCACTTCCCCACCAGTATCTATTCATGGCTCTCTCAATTGATTGAAAAAGTGTTTCAGGTAGCAAAAAAACACTCATTGTAAAAATTGACATAGATTGAGCCGGTGTGACATATTTTAATGGTTTGAAAAGTTATAATTTTTATTTATTTTTTTACTCCAATAAAATTAAAATATGTTACCGAGTCTTCTCCTACAAGTACAACAAATTATTTTGTGGACCAAGGTGTCGCACTGATCCAAAATACACAATTTATATACTAAATGTTCACAATTTACCTTTTAAAAATTCACAATTTTTGATGACCCTGTATTGTATTCATAAATTTCAAAACTTAAAAACACAACTTATATTCTAGAAGTTAACAATTCTAATACTAAAAATACACAATTTAGGATCAGGATCCAAATTGCATGGTGGACCCTGGTCCATGGTATAACTGTACAGGTACATCATTGTACTTATCATTTTTCTAGTTTTTTTTTTTTTTTTTTTTCTCCAAAGAAAGATATTTTGAATTTTTTATTTTTTTTTTAGAAGAAGATATTTTGAAATCTTATTTACCAATTGTTGGATATTTTGAAGATCTTTTCGAAGTATGACAATTGTTGCTAAGCCATGCCCTTTCTTACTATAGAGTATTAAAATTCATCATTAATGCAATTTCTTATTTTTACAATATAGTATTAAATATATAAGTAATATATATTTTATTATTTTAAATTTTTATTTAAAGAATACTTTAGATCATATAGTTATAAATGTTAAATTTATTAATGTGACATTTTTTGTTGAAAATTATAAAGTGGGGATGATAATTTTTGACAAATAGAGGGAGTATCAATTTCAATTTTCAACCAATTATTCATTCTCTCAAAAGGTTGAATCCCCAATCGACTGAGTATTTGGGAGGAGGTAAATCACAATGACTCAAAACAGAGCTAAATGTCGTTGCGCACAAGGGATCTATCCACTTTGGACAGAATCCCCATACTCTTCTTCCAAATACTGTCTACTAAATCAGTGAGCTAAACCTGTGCAGACAATTTCAACCAATTATTGACAAATAAATATGATGTTGGCCTTCCATAAACATTTTTTTTTTCTTTTTGAACTTTATTTTCAACCTCTTTTTATGAGTATAAGTAAGCTTTTAATTTGGAACAAAAATGAAAATCTTCCAGCACCAATAATAAATCATTAAATCCTGAAGGTTCTGAAAGTGACAGCCCTGGTTGGCTGGTTGGCAGGTTTAGATGCACATAGCCATTAAACATATATGCCAATCCTCCCATGTGCTAGGATAGTTGGCATGGCAATTCCAATTGCATTAAGAATATGTGCATGAACCTGATTCTAACCTATATCGGGATCACTATTGCAGAAGACGCTAGGCGCTAATCGGACGCTCGAGAGGTCTAGCGCTTAGGCGGTCTAGTAATTCAAGTATATCGTCTCTACTTTTTTTACTCAGGGTTAGGAGTTGTAAGACGGTTATAATCCACCAAATTAGTTAACTGCATATATTAGATGGTTAGTTGAGTACATGGCTAGAGAAATAGAGAAGATGAGTAGTCTAGTAGGCAAAAAAAACCACTCGGTCGAGTTGAGTGCCAACTCAGCCGAGTTAAGCACCCGAGCTGAGTCGGCGCCTAGGGTGCCTGGTTGGCCGATTAGTCGATCAGCCGACTAAAAGTTGCCTAGGGCTGAAATCGCCTCGGCTTAGGGGCGCGTAGGCCGATTTTTACAACACTGATCAGGATATTATTTTAGTTGTTTGTTATATTTGTGATGAATGTCGCTATAATATTATCTTCATTTCTTTCGAGTAAACATTGAGTATATTAATATATATATATATAAATATATCGAAATTCAGATAATTATGTGAGCCGAGATTGATGAATAGGTAGGTCAAGAAATGAGGAATATGAATCTATCCATTCTCCATCTCCACTTGAAAATGGTGTGTTAGGCAGCTAAAGAATGGCTCAGCTGTCCCATGGCAATATGTACAATATAATGGGTCCAATATCACATGCACTGCTTTATGTTTACTTGTTTATCCACCAATTCTCCAAAGCATATATGCATGTGAGTTGAGAGTTTGGCTAACTTTAATTTTGGTCAATCAATAGTTGGTATGTCATATGTGTGTTAGGTTTATTGATGTCTAATAATAACATTTCATGTGAGAGTAGTTATTACCTGTGGGTTAATGTTATTCAATATTCAGGTTGTTAGAGGTATAATAGGTGAGAATGAGAAATTAAGGAGTTCATATATCTCTCTCATTTCATGTGTGCACTTTTTATTTTTTTTTTTGGATTGCTAAATGATAATTGATAATGTTAATTAGTTTGGGTCAGCTGCATAGCTAGGAAGGTAGTATGAAAGAAATAGTGAGGTAGAATGTTTTACGTGGAAGCCCCAAAAAGAAAAAAAAAAAAGAAAAAATCACAAGTTTTTTTTAGGTCGGGTTAGGCCAAATTTACGTGGAAACCCAAAAAAAAATATATATATTAAGTCGAGTTAGGCCAAATAATGTGATTTAAATAATACAAGTAGTTGCTCCCCCCCTCCCCCCCCCCCCCTCCCCTCCTCCTCCTAAAGTGCAATAAATGTCCTTTATATAGAGGGGGAAGGGGACACATGCCGGCCGCCCGGCATGCATGCCCTCCATGTATATCTTTTAGAGATTTAGTGATGAAGTTACGCTTGCCAAGTGCCCTTAATTAGAGGTCTGATCACGTGACAGGATGACGTTTGGCGTAGGTCTTGCAAACACTTGGTGATCATTGTGTGGTTATTAACTGTGCCGACCGAGAGGTCATAGGGCGACCGGGAGGTCTACTTTGGTGATTAGGAGGCCTACTGACAAGGCGACTAGTAGATAGGCATACACTCTCCAGATCGGAAAATTAAATATACTAGATCGGTCGGAAAATGCACTTACAAGACTGGGAAGCGCTCTTGAAAACACTTGCATTGTAAGACCAAAAAATGCATTTACGAGACCAGGAAGTGCACTTGTGATTCCCGTAGGGTAAGTAGGCCGGGTTGTCATATAACCCTATCAATAATCAACCATAATTCTAGAGGCAATATGCAATATGCACGCACACATATATATTAACACATCCAAGTGAGAACCGTTATTTAATAGAAAGCTGAAAATCAATCATATACATTGATCCGAGAATATCAATGGGTCTAAAGCAACAAAAAAATATGACAAAAGAATGCGATGACATTTTGATAATTGTTTGATCTCAAACTTTGAGTGCATTCTGCAACACTATTAAGTGTATTATTAGATATCTACAAAATGTAATATCTTTTAGTACACTTTACATATCATCAAATGCACTTGTACATAATAACAGAGGATGTATTTTCTAGTGTATGAAAGTGCATGCTTGCATTTGATCCCAATTTTTACTTGATATGTTTCTCCTCTCTCTCTCTATATATATATACACACACACAAACACATATAATTAATTAAAAAAATATGGATGATTACTGAATCCTGAAGTCACATACAGGTAGTGGGAGGCCACTTGCCTCTCCTGATAATTAGGAGTGAAATGCGCAATGAGAATTGAAACAGGATATGATTGATCCTATGCAACAAATTTTAAGATTATTACAACATTGAATTACACAACAACTACATTATTTTATTTAATTTAATTAGGAGAATTATGAGAGAATCTGTGGTCAACTTTACAATACTACAAAATTGACGCTATGCAGGAGTGAGGAGTCCAAGCAACCGTACGTTCAGCTTCATATATATAAAATAATAAATATATAATTTAATTATCAACTTAAAATTTTAATTGACCTATTAGAACTAACCTGCAAGTATGAGAGGCTAATGATTAATGAGTAACAAGTGTAATAGATTCATGTAAATGAGTTCATATTGATAAATTTGAATTTGTTAGTTTTGTGTCACAGTTTGTGTTGAGTTAATATTTGGTTGATAACTTGAGTTAGATTTTAGGACATAGTAATGAGTTTTGTGTTTGATTATTAACAAAACTTATGAAATGCTATTGTAAATATATACTCTCAAATAGCGTTTAAGACAATGAAGGATGAAGGCATGAAGCCAAGGAATGAAAGAGAAGAAAGCCTAAACTTTAACATTGCTAAGTATATAATATAAAACTCTGTATATAAAATATAAATATATAGTATAATTATCAATTTAAATTATTAATTGAGATAAAACACATCCTTCAGATTTCATTAATTGCGGAATGATAGAAAGCCGCAAATAGGATCACTTTTTCAAGCTTTGGGAACAACAGCATTAGAGACATGAATATCCTTGATGTGAAATTTTAAATTTTAATCTACTTTTTTATGTTGTTGCAAATAAAAGTGAAAAAAAGAAAGCAGCCAGCTGGTAATTAAGCATCCAATTATGGCAGACATCAAATACCCATCATTGTGATTAAATGTGTTAATTGCAAAGTTAAATTCCCACATGCAACCATTATAGCAAATCATACACAACTCAGATTGATTTCAATTGCACTGCACATCCAAAAGGACAATAATGCTGCTCTTCCATTGACAATGACAATTGAAAAAAGAAAATTAAAGTTGCTATTTTTTTTGTTTCCCAATAACATTGTTGACATTCACACTATATATAATATCCTAGGACTCAAAGTACTGAACAACACAGCTCAGAACAAAACTAAAATCAATCTATAGTTCCTATAAAAATAAAATCAGAACCCAAGCACAATATGCAGTGTAGAACCAAACACTGACTGAGACACAAAATAACAGGGGATGACAACGCTTCCGCGCCTGCATCTACACTACTAGCATGCATATATATATATATGTATATGTATGCTTCTTCGGTAGAGAACCAGGCCGAGGTTGCACAACTTTTTTATACCCAATGGGGAATGACATAAATTGACAGTGCAAAAAATGTACACTTGCCAATGGGTGACTGACTCCAAACAAAGGGTAAGGGGTGGGTGGGTGGGTGGTGTAATATGGGCAGGCAATTGGGTGGTATGGGTGTGAGGTAGTCATGATAAAAATAGATATCTAAAAAAAAAAGACCAAGACTGTTTTGATATTTGTATAGGTGCTAACAGGTGCGGCCACGGCGGCAACCTAGAGGGCCAGCATTTGCAGTCATGGTGCCTACCATAGAAGAGGACTTGGCACCTAAGCTTGAAGCTCTTGCATAGCTGGCTGAAGCCCCGGCTCCAGATGGAGTGAAATAGGCTCCATTCAGCATCAAGTCGCCCTCCGATCTCCAATTCCAACCCTTCCATTCGCTCTCTGATGTTTCAACCCTTTTTGTCACCTGTTTTAGTAACCCAATTAATATATAGAAGCATTCTATCACATGGCAAAGTACAGAGAGATTAATGAGAGGGTGGTGGAGTACCTCCTTGGCAAAACTGTTGGCTGGAGCCAGATATCTGTTGCCTTGGCTGTTTATGGTGGGGCTAGCACTTCCACCGATGGCATACATCTCCCAGTGAGTGTAGTCATTGTTCACCACATGGAAGTATCCATGCCTGCACCTGCATTTTCATCACCATTTCTTTAAACTTAGTAATCAATCTGGAATGCCCTAAATCACAATTATATATACATACTTCAATAATTACCTTGGCATTCTCTGAATGAGACCTTCCCCAAAGTGGTTATAAGCGATGGTCACTTGCATTTGCTTATCTCTTGTATAGGAGTCACTGTGACCCAATAGCATCACCTGTTCCATGTTAACTCCACCAAATTAGTACAGTTTTCCTCAAACTTAAGAAGGACATAGCTAGCTAAAAGGAGTTTCATGTGAAAATGAAGAGACCTCGTTGTGGTGGGCGAGGTGATTGTTAGAGATAGTGATGGCGGTTGAGCCCATGACAGCGTCAACAAGGCCATCAGCACAGTGACTTAGAGAATTGTGATCAATCCAGATATGGCTTGAGCCAAAGATAGAGACGGCGTCACCATCAGCCATAGTCCTCCAACCATAATGAGACGGTGAGCTCCTGACCATGGCATTTCCAGTGGGTTTGCAGTCATGAATGTGCAGTCCATGTATGATGACATTGGTAACGAATTGGATTGTGATGCACGCCCCATTAGCAATGTGGACGTTGGATCCACGGGCATCAATGGTCTTGAAGCTGTTCATGATCAGCTCTTGCTTCAACTGTATAACCATGTCACGCTTGAACACAATCCACAAGGGCTCCTCCTGGATAACAGCGTGGCGAAGAGTGCCAGGCTTGGGGTTCACAGGATCATCATCACCAGCATCAGTGACAACGTAGAATCGACCATCACGCCCACCAATGGCATTGCGCCCAAATCCAATGCCACAATCAGCAAGTCTCTTGCGGTTCTTTTGCCAATTGGGATCACAACGCCAGCAATCATCAATTGGATTACCAGTCCCACATGAAAAATAACCCAGTTTTCGCCTCTCAGTGCTGTTTCTGATGGTCCTGTTAATTCAAAGAATCTAATCAGTGCCAAAATATCATCAACTTAATCCCAGAAAGTTGTCATATAAGAATTAAAACATCATTTTCACTTGACAGTCTAAAATATAATCAGCCTAAATCATTGTATGTCTAGCCAACAGGATACTAAACATTTTTCCAGTCAATATCATATAATAATTGTGGTTACTTGTTGCTACTGTGTGTCGGTGGAAACAATAATAGGCTTGGGTAATCTTCTTGTCCTCACAAAGAATTAAAACTTTAAATATTCACCAAGCATTTAGTCATCTGGTTTCATATGTACTAGTTTTTCCCATTGTTGGTAAGTATTATTTAGTATTAGTATATATATACAGCAATGATATACAAGGCCCTTTCTTATTAAAGGCCACACATGGCTGATGCTGTCAGAGTGAAAAAGATAGATTATAAGTACAAATCAAAATGATATCATCGACAATTTTTCTTTCATGCACATGCACTCAAGCAGAGAGAGCCACAGCAACACGTCAACAATATCTTCCTATAAAAATAAAATAAAGTCATTTATTTCATTTTTATATACGGCATTAGGATAGTTAAGCAAGAAGTTTTGACCCTTTGACAGCCATAGGATGATAGGAAATATCAATCAAGTATCAGAATCTGGAATAGATTGCAGGATAGGAGAATAACATATTTACTGCTCAAGACAGATCTGACTGTACATGCATTTGACTTACCCATAGCTACAATTTGACTACTCTATTATAAAACTGAAACACAAAAGACGAAATCCCTCACCCTGAACTCCACATCACGGCTTTACATAATTTGCGAATGCAGTAAATCGCGGTAACTCAAGACCTATTAGGTGGGAAGACCAGTGCCAAGTGCCCAAGAATTAACAATATTCAGACAACATTATCAATTGGAGTTGTTGAATCATTTGTTATGGAACATTTATTTAGTTCTTGGGTTTTAATTCATTGAGGGAGGGGGGTAGGTGGGTACATGCTTTTTAGGGACTTGAGGTTTGGGTACTGGGTAGGTCTGTCACATGAAGAGTGGTTTCATAAATGCAAAAGTTTGAGAACAAAACACACTTTTTTTTTTCACTTAATGCAAGAACTAAACACAACTAATGGCAGATCAGAACATGAAGAAAACATCATAGTTTAACTTATAGTTGAAGAAATTAAAGGATAGAGGCACCCACTCTACAACCATGGAGACAACCTCTTCTGGGTCATCCACTGCATGCTTGCTCAAAGCTTCCTCCACCTCGGCCAACCTGGACCATAAATGACCAAAACAATTTTACATAAGAAATTCATGAGAAGAATGTAATATTGCGATTGATCCCCAAAAAAAATAATAATAAATAAATAAATTGCGGGAACAGAGAAGGGCATTTTGGGAAAATCAGTAAAAGGTTTGGGCAACCGACATTTATGATTTATCCACTATTCCACGCTGCAAAAGATGACACAAAGTACAGAGAGCAAAGCAAGACACTGCTCATTTGCTCAAGGCGGAGGAGATTCCGCTACGCACACAGTGCTTTTCTAGAGAGAAAATTTGAGGCTCTTTCAGTTAAAGGGAGAGAGAGAGAGGGGTAGTTTTGGAAGTACAGGAAAGGAGGGGAGAGCGGTTAAAGAACCAATGAAGATTTGCAGTTGCAGAGCAGAGGAACCCGAGGGAAGGAGGGAGGGGTGGGCTTTAACGGAATAAACGGTTGAGATCTGAGAATCTCAACGGCGGAAATTGCTCCAATGATCCTTATCAAGTTATCAGATGCTTTGTATTGAAGCAGCTGGTGGATATTAGGATCGGACGGTAGACATTTAACGAATATTTTTGGAACCAAAAACGAACCGTTGAGATTCATCAGAACAACCAGTGAGTCGACTCAACGATTCCAAACCAAAAACAAAGAGTAATTCCGGCAACGACTCGTTACCTGGCCGCCATTGTCGAGTTATACGATCTCTGCAACTCCTCTTCCTCCACAGTTCTGAAAACCAAAATCAAACACACAAATCAAAACAAAACCTACATATACCACAATGCTTATACGAAGAATTGATTATCTTCTCTCAACAAACAAGTAAACCAACAGAGTAGAGCTAAGATCTTTGAACAACCACAATGCGAGTAATTCTACTCAAAATTCTGTAAAAATAGAGATTAATTTAGCAGGAAACAAGGTCAGCTGCAAAAATCTCACAAAATTTTAGTTAAAAAAGTATGTGCACTGCGGAATTCCAAGGTTTGTAGCAGAGAAGTAGAGAGAAAGAGGGAAAATGTGAGCAATGTATCTGAGAGAGAAGCCGAACCTGGACTCAGACATTTCAGTTTTCTGGACTCTAGCGACAATGCCGACAACGAACAAGAGAAGCAACAAAGAAGTCAGACTCAAGTTAACGCAGTTCTTCGAGACCGCCATTGCAGCTGCGTTTTCGAGCTCTCTTCTCTCTCTCTCTCTCCAATGGATCTGAAAACACGGAGAGAGAAATGGAAGAAGAAAATACAGAAAGAGAGAAAGAACAGAGGAAAGAGCAGAGAGAGTGAAAGACGAAGCACTAAGCCCAATGTAACGGCCTCTTTATATAGCCCTCTGTGGCTTTCAGAAAACATCCGAATTAACGGCCGTTTAATAACTGACTTAAACGGAGAAAACGGGGAAAAGGGATAAAAGGAAAAAAAAAAAAAAAAATCCTATTCTCCGGTAAGGGGTCGGGTGGGTTGATTCGTTTATTTATTGGGTTCACTTAAACCTTTACTTTTTACCCGCTCCACTTTTGATTTTGAGGATTCACTGCCATAGTCACATGTTCATCTTGACTCGTTGTCACGTGACGACTCACTTCTTTTATCGTGGATGCTCAAAATTATTACGAACTTCCAACCATCCCAATCCGCATTTAATCGTCTACCCAACAACTATTCTGTTAGTTTTATGTTAATTTGATATTAAAAACATAATGGATTTTGCCAACCACTTTATGCTCGGTTGATACCTTTCTGACACTCTTTTAGAAGGACAATGGATTGAATTCCGGTAGTGAGATATTTGACTTAATATATTGAACAGATAATATCTTGTAACAAATTCGATAGTACTCACTCACTAAAATTTTAATCTAAATTTATATGATATACTAAAAGTTTTGAATATACCCAATTTGGTTGGCGTGATTGGCCGTGTACTCTTATTCTTTAAAAGAGGTCAAGAGTTTGAACCCTCTCTTGTATGAAAAAACCCAATCTAACCAGTACTTTGATGATACGGGCTTAAAAGGGATTTGTTTTTTTTTTTTTTTTGAAGAAAAAAGGGATTTTTTTTTAAGAGTTAGAATTTATATGTATTATGTTAGATTATGTGTATTATTATTTCAAAAAAGATTATGTGTATTCTGTTATACAATTATGTACATTCGAAACATGAAATTTTTTTAAAAGAAATTAACAGCAGACACGAGAAATGAAATTTCAAAAAAAAAAAAAAATACAAAACGACGCCATTTTGGGTCCATTGTGCACCCTGGTGCACGATATAATTTGCCGCTCAAGACACCTCATGGTCTGACAAAAAAAATTGAACCTATAAATAAATGTGATATATTATTAGCTTTAAATTATTTAATATTTTGTATTTACTAAGATGGATTTAACCAAAGTTTTGTAAATTTGGAATCCTTAAATATTAGTTATAGTCTTTAAGTGAGTGGTTAGAAAGTGTAATGTTACGGACTGAAGTACATCCTTTATATAATAAAACTATATGGTTTGAGAAATAATTAATATTACAATTAATGCCACAACATCATTTATTATAAAAAAAAAAAAAAAAAAAAAAAAAAAAAAAAGCACAACATTTAAATAATAAAATAGCTATATATTATATAATCATATAAAAAATATACTTTTGAAAAATAAAATAGCTATATATTATATAATCATATAAAAAATGTGTTCAATTAGAGTTTAAATTTACACATACAAAATTTGAAATTTGCTTTCCAAATGTAATTATCTTAGTTATTATTTGTATTTTGATAATTATAATATAGATGAAATACAATTAAGAGTAAATCAATGTAATTATGTAAATTATCTCTATAAGTTTATTTGAATATGCACATAATTAGAGATTATATTAACCAATTAACCATACAAAAATATAATTTTAATTTTAATTTTAATTTTAATTTTAATTGTAATTTTGTATTCTATAAAAATAATAAATACTTGACCAATGGAAGCTCAAAAATATTATTATATTAAATAATTTAAAATATTCTAGTTTTTCTATTTTTTATTTATATTTATAATAACATAATTTTTTTCTGTGCATCGCGCGGGTGAATTACTAGTATATAATATATTGCTAAAGTCATGTTGTGGTGAGATTTTCATGTTTTAAGAATACTGATGGGATTAAGAATCTAATGTCTAAAAATTGTCTCCTCTCATCAAATCAACTAAATTTAATGAAACCTGTTATTTTCGTTCTTAAAAATTGGTAAATCGCTATGTAATATTCACTTCAAATTTTATTTATCAGTTTTTTTATTATTATTAAAAAATTCTATGTTTGTTTTTGTCTAAAATACCATTGTTCGAAATAATAAATAAACAGATAAATTAGAAATAAAATATTTATTTATATATACAAAAATTTTAAATAATATAAAATAAATAAATTTATTTATTAATTTTTATATCTAAGTGATCCCAATTTTGTCACACTTATCTTAATTATTATAAATCCCATAAGATCTCGCCCCTAGAACTGCTATAGAGGTAAATCACAGGCAAATTATATTATGCACCGCGGTGCATAATCGATTATGCACCGCGCGTCTTTTTTTTTTAAATGAAAATTAACAGTGTTTATTTCCACCGTTTCGCACCCTTTTACAAAAAGTAACCCTGTTATTCAGTGTCATTTTGTATACACTGCAGTTTCAGTTGAACACAACTACAGTTTCATTTCGATATAACTATAGTTTCATTCGATATTTTATAGACTCAAATATGTGAAAATGTTACTCCGTATTTAATTTTATTTTATATACACTATAGTTTTATTAAAACACAATTACATGATCATTTTGATATAATTACAGCTTCATTGTACAATATACACTCAAATATGTGAAATGTTATTCAGTTTCAGTTTATATACACTGCAGTTTCATTTCACTATAACTATAGTATCATTTTGATATAACTGCAGTGTCGGTTTGGATATACTGTAGTATCAGTTGGTGTTTAATACACCAAACAAACGGACTCCGTTAACTCTAACGGCGGACCGTTTCTTTACTTAAAGAAACGGCGCCGTATATGGGCCGCGATGCATAATCGATTATGCACCGCGGTCTATAATATAACAACTGATTATATTCTGCACCGTGGTGCATAATCGATTATGCACCGCGCGTTTTTTTTTTAAATGAAAATAAACAGTGTTAGTTTCCGCCGTTTCGCACCCTTTTGCAAAAAGTAACTCTGTTATTCAGTGTCATTTTGTATACACTGCAGTTTCAGTTCAACACAACTACAGTTTCATTTCGATATAACTATAGTTTCATTTGATATTTATAGACTCAAATATGTGAAAATGTTATTTAATTTTATTATATATATATATACACTATAGTTTCATTAAAACACAACTACATGATTATTTTGATATAATTACAGCTTCATTGTACAATATACACTCAAATATGTGAAATGTTATTCAGTTTCATTTTATATACACTACAGTTTCATTTCACTATAACTACAGTATCATTTTGATATAACTGCAGTGTCGGTTTAGATATATTATAGTGTCAGTTGGTGTTTAATACACCAAACAAGCGGACTCCGTTAACTCTAACGACGGGCCGTTTCTTCACTTAAAGAAACGGCGCCGTTTTTTACCGCGGTGCACATGCACCACAGTCTATAATATAACGACTGTAAATCACAAGTGGCCAATCAGCCCACCGGTTTTACCAAAAAAAATCAGCCCACCGGTTTTACCAAAAAAAAAATTAAAAAAAAATTAGCCCACCAGTCATACAATTATGTGAGCACAAAAGATAGACTTAGGGTTGGGGTTCAGCCTTTTGGAAGAATGTGAGCACAAAAGATTCAAAAATCTATTTATTTTATATACACGCATGCACACAGACATAATGGTAATTTTGATATATTGGGTCTTGAGAATGGTTATTCTCATTGAAAATGAAATAGTAAATTCTATTCTGAAATTTTAAAAATAATCTAAATAACGGAATAGACCTACTCAATAAAATTTTATTTTATGTTCTGTTTATTATGCGAATCAAACACAATGCAAATGCGATAACTTTTTTTTTTTGAATGCGCAAATGCGATAACTTACTTTTTCATGAATTTATGTAATAATTAATAAAATTTTTTTTTTAATATTTAATAGATTTTGAAGATGTTGAGAAATAAATAAAAGTAAATTAGGAGGTAGAGCGGAGATTTAACGGAACCCTAATGAATACCCATGAGCTTTTTCCGAAATTTAGGTGTATTTAATGCTTTTTCCCTTCTCTCTCTCGTCCCTTTACTCATTGCCACGTAGGATAATTCCGTCTATTGGGCAAATACCGTACCGTTTGGATAGTACGAATTAACATCCCTAGGCGGAAGACGACGACAGGATTCACGAGGATTAGCTGATTGATTCCACAAAATTATTATCCCTTATAATAATATATATATAATTTTAAAATTCAAAATATTAGTTGTATTACATTTTTAATCAAATCTAATACCACGTCTAAACTCTAAAGTGCATTATTAATTTTTGTACTTTAAATTATCTGTAAACTTTAGATTCAACACTTAGCTTGATTGTCCGCACATATTTAACTTATTGATTCAGTAGGAAGTATTTGAGAGAACAAACTAAGGTTTGAACCTTGACAACGTCAGTTTAGGGATTATGTCTAAAGTGAGTAGATCCCTTGTGCGCACGACATTTGGTCATGTTTGCTAAGTCATTGAGTCACCGTGTTTTATATCATTCCAAATGCGCTGTTGAGTCTTTCGGGTTGGAATTCAACATTTTAGAAGAAGATTTTACGAACAAAAGATAAGACTCGAGATGTTTTTATAATTACACGAAGTAATATAGTATAATACAAAGTATAACGTAAGAGATAAATATGATGCCGAAAAATTATTTTGCGTTTTCACATCTAATACAAAACATAGAAAGAGGAATGTTACATCACCATTATATATTTTTTCCTCTATCATTTTTCATGATATGACATTATCTAATTGAATTTTTCAGTATTTAATTATTAATTAATTAGTGATGCGATCAAATAGGCCATAGACACGTAATGAATAAAAGTCACATCAGGAAATAATATTAGCGGAAAAATTCAGTAGAAAAAAAAAAAAAAAAGCATTTTCCATATAGAAAATGCGGAAAATAGTTTGCTTAAGCGGAAGTCTCGGCGGAGGACATTCGGAAAACCGGGTCCAAGGGCGGGTCACCATTCATTGCACATTTTAGCCT